GCTGGAGGGACCCTCCGCAGAGAGGGGCAGTGGGGGATGGCAGAGTGCAGGAGGGGCGACGACAGGCAGCAGCATTGGCAGCATCAGACCCGCAGATACCCTCTGTGGGTGCCGGGGGTGTACCAGCAGAGTGCCCCCCGGCAGGGCGATGCCATCCCTCCCTTCCCGGGTTGCTTTACCAGTAGAGCGATTTTTTTTGCATCGCCTCCCGCAGCTTGCGCTGGTCCTCCTCCCCCAGGCTGCCGAATTCGTACTTGGGGCTGAACTCAGCGGCCGGCGCGCTGGTGAACTTCACCTCGAAGGCGGAGGTGGGGAAGTCAATCTGGGGCAGGGCAGAGAATGAGCGGAGTCCACACGTGGGACTCGGTGCGTGTGTGTCCCCCGGGACCCCCCACTGCCAGGACGTACCTGCAGGATGACGCTGTCTGGCTGGTTGAAGTTGGGGGCACTCGACCTGGCTCTGGAGTTGTCCTGGGTCGCCGGCCACAAGCCCAGGAGCTTTCGCCCACAGGTCAGGACCCTGGAGGAGAAGGAGGGGTGAGAGCCTGGCACTGGGGCTGCTCTGCCGGGGTAGGGGGGTGACACCGCTGCAGCGATGCTGTCCCCATGCTGAGCCAAGGCGCTGGGCACCCTCCTGCCCCGCTTCAAGGATGCTGGCACGGTCCCTCGCCATGCCCATGGCGGCAGGACACCCCACGTACTGCCTGAAGTTGAAGAGGGGGGTGGTCACCCAACCCAGGGCCTCGGGGACCCGTCGCTGCTTGTTGGTGTCGGAGGAGCTCCCCGGGGGCGGGACGGGCACGGCGAAGAGCGTGACGCTGAGCAGCGTCTCCCGCGGCAGACGGTTCACCTGGACGGGGAAGCAGATCCTGCAAGAGAGCAGCCGGCGGCTCAGCCGTGCCGGGGACGGGCACTGCCAGCCCCCCGTGGCGCCAGCCAGCCCCCCGCCTTGGGATGCCAAGCGTGCCCCAGGAGAGCCCAACCCAACAGACGCCTTTACTGCTGCCACTGGGGGTGCCACGTGCCCCCCGGCACGGGATGGCGGTCCCACATCATGGGCAGACACCCCGTGGGAGACAGCTGGGGTCGGGGAGAGCTGACCGCTCGTGTACCCCCATCCTCTCCTGGCATGAGGAGCCTTGCTGCTCTCTGTCCCGGCAAGGTGACCGCGGGGCAGGGGGGCCGCCATGCAGGGGCACCCACCGCACACTGACCTCGTCCCACGGCCTGGGGGGGGCTGTGTGGGACCCCGGGGCTGCGGCTCCTCTCCGATGCTCCCGAGGAGCCCAGGGTGGCAGCTACATCCCACCCGCAGGTGGGCACGGGCAGGGGATCGCCCCGCGGAGGGGACCGACACGACTCTGCTCCCCGCCGGCCGCTCGGCGCCTGTCCTTGGGGGGCAGCGGCGCCTTCTAAAATTATCCCGTCCCATCCCCACCTCCCCGGGGGTGCTGCGAATGCCAGGCGTGGTGAGGGCTCGGCACAGCCTCCCTTGCCTGCTCCCGGGGCTATTTTTGGAGCAGATCCCCTTTCCTGGGTGCAAACACGCAGGTCTGGGGAGGGCAGGGCTGGCACCGGGGACGGTGCTATTCCCAGGGATGACACAAGAGCTTCCGACACCCAAAAACTGGGGAGAGGCACAGAGAGGAGACACTGGAGGAGGGGAGGAGGAGGAGGAGGGGATGGCACCGGGTACCCCCTGCCCACCACACGGCCGAGGGTCTGCCTTACTGCTGGTCCCATATGATGAGGTGGAAGAGGTATTTGTAGACGTGGGCTTTCCTGGTGAGCAGGGGGCTGCACAGCTCCTTGCCGCCGTGGCTGAGGGAGCAGGAGAGGTAGAAATCTTCGTAGCTGCAAGGGGAGCAGAGGGAGCTGTGAGTCGGGGGGGGGGGCTTCGCCCGGGGTAGGGGAGCCGGCACCCAGGGGTTCACCCCACCACGGGGCAAACCCCATGCCATTGGGGTGGGTGGATGGATGTGCTGCCCCTCCGTGCCTTCCCCAAGCTGGGCTTGGGAAGGGGGCTGGGCTGGGGAGGGGGCGCAGAGCCGGGAGCCCCCGTCCCCATCACCATATGCCACCGCGCATACCGTCACACGGGGGGCTGCCCGGGGGGCCCCGACATGGGGC